GGGAGTGGTTTCCGGAGTGACCGGAAGGATACCACAAGGGTCTGATTGTGTCAGGCCTGCTGATGCAGGTAACCCAACGCAATTATCCTGCTGGACATGGCAGGTTGAAGACCATACTGGCAAGATGACTGAGGCAAAGGGATTGTGTGCGGACCACCGTAGCTACGAGAGTCAACCTTGGAAAGAAATGTATATATATATATATATATCATAGAGAGAGAGGTTTACACCCCCCAAACCCATGAGTTGTCCAAAAAGCATCCAAATCTGAATCGGTGCAAACTACATCAAGTAAATACTTCGCGGATTTGACATGTTTGTTTACCGCGTTGTTCCAAAAAGGTCAAGCGGGGCCAGCCCTCCGGCAGGCCCAGCTTCTGAAGCTGCAGGCCTTTCGGGAGGCCGAGTTCGGGGCCGGCATAAACCGGGCAGCTTGCGGGAAGGTCCGAGCTCCACCCGTCATGTAGAGAGAATATCCCAGGGGCCGGTGGAAAGGATCTGGGTTTAGTTTCACCAGCTACCTTTGGGAGCTCGAAAATGACTCTGCGCCACGTAGGTGGGGGGGGATTGTATACTATATAATTATAGGGAATTCAACACAAGATACCAGGAAAGCGTAATGTATGAAAAAACGGAATGATTTTTCTCCTGCAAAGACAATGCATGACAATGCTTTCCGACATGTGTGTGCTTTGGTGCTGACAGCACGCACCTAAATTTCGGGCACAAGTTACCAAGTCACCAAATGTCGACCTCACCAAGAACGCTTTTCACAGGAATCAAAAGTGATCCTTCAACATGTTGCTGTGAGCCTAAGAATTTGTTAGTACAGGCTCTGTACGGGATAATACGGTGTTCTATGGTTTCGGTCAAGTCACCATCCAAATTCCCCTTAACGTCTAAGTCTAATGAGTATAAGACTATAATGTTAACCTCTCAATAGTAAACCCCCCTTATGAAAAAGATGTTTGTTTTTTTCCTCCGGGGTAGCCAAATTCTGAACCGCAATAGAAAACCTCCAGGCCATTTGGCAGAGGGGATAGTACTAGTAGTGCTTGCATTCTGCTGACATTGCTTTCATTTTGCACAAGGATAAGCCAGCAGGGCTGGAGTGGGGTTGATTATTGTAGGTTTGTTTATCATTGCGGGGTGGGAGTCTAAAGGGGTACCCTTTGAACATATTCTTTCTATTTCTTTGATAGGGCTTTTAAATGGTTTGAAAATGTTTGAAATAAGGGAATCTATATAAAGCTTTTGGCTAGCCAACTTTTTTTTTTGGGAAATCATAAAGGTTCCACAAAAAAAAGAAAAGAAAGAAGAACAGCCTGAGATTCATTTCACTGGTTGTCTTTTGGCTGTGATTTATGTGACAATGAAAGGAGAGCATTCTGAAAGCATTCTGTTGGCGCAATTATATAAAGGTAGTATTGGAAACTTCTGGCAGGCCAAACAGAAGATTATTAATATTGTAGTGGTTTACAATTGATGAATGATTTGTTTTTATCAATTTTGGGGTTTGGATGTTGGCGCAATTAAAAGTAGTATTGCAAATTTATGTCAGGCCAATCTAGAGCTTACTATTGGTGCATGGTTTATTACTGGGAGGTTAACATTATAATCAGTTATTACATTACCAACACAGATGGAAGAATCGGAAAAATGGTCGACATTGGGTGATTTGTGAATCCATTGAGATCCCACATCACACCTGGAAGCAAGACCTGGTGGTGGTTGTGGCTGCTTTTCAGTGGTTTTACTGCACATCACATGGTTTTATCAAAGGACAATGTTTCCCGAGAAGCGACAATATGTTCCATATGTTTCAATCTCTTCCCTTGAGCAAGCGATGTTTCATCCAGGAGCCTACAAATTGTTATTAATTGTGTTGCTTCTCTATAGGTATCGATCCATCTATTTATCTATAATATCTATGGCTGTGTGTACTTGTAGATTTGGAGCAGGTCTTCATTCCACAAAGGCTCCCGACGATGGGTGCCACCCAGCCACCCAGAGTCGACTCCGTCCCTGAACAGCTTTGACATTCAGCAACACATGTGTTCCGCCACAGCGCATAGACACCCTGGTCAGCATACCGGACCTACGAGCAGTCAGCCTATTCATAGCAGGTCACTTGTTTCGCGCTAAGCATTCCTTGGGCCCTTCCCACGTTTCTTTATGTGTTTTTTTTTCCGTCCAGTGCAGTCCGGAGGCTTTAAACGCCTTGGATGAACAAGCCAAAGAGCTGGAGGTGCGAGTCTCCAAGACGGGACTTGGGCGGGGTCCACTCTTTGAGGAGAATGAGCACGACATCATTCGGCATCCACGTGGCTCAAGCCACCTTCAAACACATCCCCGCGTTCGTGATTGAGAGGGAGAGTGTGAGTGAGTGAGTGAGTGAGTGAGTGAGTGAGGGAATTGTAATGATGCATATATGTGCAGTAACACCACGTAACAACACATTAAAGCCGTAACAACACATTAAAGCAGACGTTTTTGTGCAGGAATATGGGTCATTGCAACTCACCAATTTGGTGTGTGTCATGTTTGCGAATATGTGTCAATGTTCCAAGTCGAGGCCTTTCTTCCTTCCGTGAGGAAACGTTTCTTTTCCTAGGACTACAGGTCCACAGTCCGCTCTTCAAAGATCCAATCCTAGCGGGAGACAGGCCATGCAAATGGAGTAGTTTTGGCATATTTTGACAGATGATTTGGACATGCCACTGAAGGGGTTGACTGATTTGACCGTCTAACTGCGTCTAAAGACGGAGGCAGGGCATCACGCATGGGGGCCTGCCAGTCAGTACTGAACACAGATTGCTTGGCCTCTCCTCGAAGGACCAGCGAAGTAGTCGGCGAGGCGTGTTTCTTTGAATTAGTCTGAGTTTTTGTTGTTTAAGTTTGTTTGTGGACGCATGGGGGCTTTATTTGTCGTTCGGGCTTCATTTCTTGCTCATTGGCCACCCCTCACCAAGTGCAGTATTCCAGGTGACGCTCCAAAGTCCCTCGCTGTTTGTTCCGGTTTGTGCGTCCGAGGCTTTGAGTGCCAAGGACGCTGCATATATGACGCCACCATGACAGTGATTTGGGAGTGATTGGGGGATGGGATGCCGAAGAACAGCTTTTGTGTGTCAAGCTGCGTGCTCAGAGGTCACTCCAACAGCTTAGCTGGGAGCTGTTCGGGGGTTCAACTGCAGACCAACACATGCTTTCCATCGCGAACAGACATGGACGGCGGCGTCAAGCAAGTCCGGGTTGTTCAAGAGATTTCAGGTTTGATGGGGAGATTCAGTCGTTTGGGATGATCCCACACAAGCCCCAGCAGTGGAAGTGATGCTCGGAGGACTAGGGGGTTCGGTGCAAAAGGTTTAATGTAGGACATGTCCAAGACACATTGCAATATTATAGATATATATGCAAATATATGCTTAAACTCGGGTATCTGACTAAGTCTACCGTGTCCAAGCATCATACCCAGTGCGGGAAAGGTCCAAACCGTACATCCTCAACATGTCCAAGTGTCCTTTGATGCCAGTTTGTGGATCTTACGCGAATGCAGTGGTTTCAGAGTAGATGGCACCCCTACATGCACCTCTAGATGTTTTTTGGATGTGGGTCCATATAAACCACCGACCTTGGGGATTGTGCCATCTACTCTGAACCCACTGCAGCATGTTTGAGGGGACCCTTTCTGGAGGTCCGCTGTGCTCGCCTATGATGCAGCACCGTGGCTCGAGATGCCGCGGTGCTCGCGGGTAACGCGTAGCTCTTCGCATGCAGACGAGTTGCAAGGTTTGGTCTTCAAACACGGTCTCCGACAGACCAGCTATATATCCCTACAAGTCAATGACCTCATTTTACTGAAGTTGGTCATACAAAAAAAACACTACTGAAGGAGGTAAAAGACCTGGTTTTACTGGGTCAGACTGGACTTGTGGGGTATGGAAAGAACATATCACGGCTAGTTTGGTTTGTGATCGTCAACACACTGTAACCACTCACCTATACGGGGGATTCTATACACCAACAGACTCAAGACTTGCTGTTTGGTGCTGGAACAGGTCTTGCTGTCGATGGGTGTTCTCGACGTTCAAGATGGTCCTGAAGTGGCCATCACAGTTAAGAGGCCAATTGCGCTTTCAGAGCTACCAAGTCAAGGGAAGAAATTGGATGGAATCTGGAGTTCAAAAGGCTTAACCGTGAACGTCAGAACGTAAAGAAGAAATATATTTGATTTTGATTGACTTCTTGACGTTTCACACGGTTTGGCCAGTCCAGCGCAACCGCATTCTTTGGACTTACGGCACATGGAGCAACCTGCCGGAGAAGACCCTACTTCTGCAGTGGAAGTTGGAGCCAAACCTGCTGAATCGATAGTGGGTGCTCTTTGGAATGAATGGCCTTGGAGTGCTCAATGGTGTTGGAGGCCGAACCTGCGTTCCTCAAAAAGCCATTCCGGAAGGTGTCGAAACCGTAAGCCGCTTGAGAGCAGGGGCTTTGTGCCAAACTGATGATCCAAACAGGATCCAAAAACGGGGAAAGTGGCAGTGATAAAACGAAATGACTTTGAAGCTAGTCGTTCGGGAATGTCCCAGGCTCGATGTGTTCTGGGACCACTGTATAGCTTGTATGTGTAATGTATGAGGCATGTGATATCATATGTTTTAAAAACATATTGATAGATCATGTTTTCACACATGTGTATGTACACATATATGTATATAATTAGATAGGTTTGTGCCATCCCTGAAGTGCTTGGAAAGCAACGGATGTTTATCCTTTTCTCTCCAGGCTCCTTTAAGCATTTTGCGCCACTTTTGTGCCACTTCCACAGGTTCACGATCTTGCAGATTATGTTCGCTGTGATTGGGCAGCTTGGGCGCTTGCTGAAATGTGCATTGAATTGTGGACTCTTGATGAATAAACCCTTAATTGACATAATAACCCCGCCCATTTGGATGCACGAACTTGCGGACAGTGGTCACAAACGCGCTCGCACCCACTCTATCCCTTCCTGGGTTGTCCAGGTAAAGGTGAAAAGAAAACGTCATGCACCAAGAAGCCTTATAAAGATATGTACACAAAACACTACGAAAGCAAGGGCAAGACGAAAATGGATCTGTCTTCAAGCTCTAGGGACAATGGCATTGGAGGTTCTGAGTATCAAGAACCAGGGCACCGGGCACATGGAGGGTTTAATGTACAATTCGCACAATTCAGGGACCTCATCCTGTGACTTCACCCCCCTGAAACTCGCAGTTGTCATGCGGGTGACGTGAAAATCCAAGGCCCTGACTTGCCCAGAAGACAAACCACATCCTTGGGGGGTGAACGTTTCGTCACCTCCACAGAGTGAACGAAGAGTCATGGTGTCTTCCTGGCCACCTGTCAGCGTCTCACAATGGAACAACATGTTGATTGCTTCGCAGAATCTGGAGTGGATACCAAACTATCCCAAACGATCAATATTGATTCACTTGGCATCTACTGGATTCACTGGATTCCAGCATTTGAGGATCTCGGGGGGATGCCTTAGCCTGAAGGCGATGTGACATCGGACGACTGGACTCAGATCTGGTCCTGCCCTCGGTGGACTTGGCTGTAGGCCGTGGTGGGGGTAGCGAAGAGCTTTCTTTTGAGTGAACAGGTTACACTCCCTGGAACGACCACATGGTTACGTGGATGGCATGGCCCCGAAAGGAAGACCATTTTCCACTACAAACAGGTGGTGAGCTCCATGTAACCATGTTAAATTCCAGCTAGGGAGAGTAAACAGCACGTTTCTTCCACTGGATTTCCTGTCTGGAATCACCTCGCTCCGGATGCATGTCATTCATCCCATCCCATTGACGACCTACCCCGCATGTCGGGGTCGTCCGTCCGATTGTGGCGTTTCGCAGAGCTGAAGCAGAGCCCGGATGGATGAGCTGTCTATGGCAACGGCTTTTGTATAGACCATCATAGACCTATGTCAGGGCAACCAAGTACAGTGACCCCCTTCCCAGGCGCTTCCATCCACGTGCCTGGGCACTTTTTGTGGGTTGTTGGAAGAGCTGTTGGACCTGAGGCACCTTTGCTTCGAGGTAGGGCCACTCTACAAGACAGTGAATGTGGATGAGATTGAACTCTTCACTGTCGCCCGCTATGTCGCTTGGACTGTCGTTCTTACGGACGCGATCGACTCTTCGATGCGCCAGACCAGTCGTTGGCAGGAAGCCTTTTGGTTGCCAAAACCTTGGGTAGAAGCAGCAACAAGCGCCATGGCGCTTTCTTTAGCGGCCATCGCCGCTACTAGTCCAACAAAATTGTGACCCGTCCGGGCCAGGCGGCCTCTATGAAGCTCAGGGGTGGCTGCCAATTTCTTTGTGGTGTTCGTGTGTTAGACTGGAAGGCTGTTGGAGTGCCTGGAAGGCGACTTCCTTCAGAACTTGCATGGAACCCCCCCAACAAGGCCAGGGGACGTCCCCCTATTCAACAACGGTCCCCGCCCAAAAAGAACGGAAGCTGATCATTTCTCGTTCAAACTGGGGTTTGTCCAACTGCCCGGGCGAATGCGAGGATTCAGCTGGGACATTGTTGATCAGCTTTTGTTTGGAACAACTACAGCGACCTCTTGAAGGAACTGGGTCGGCTTTCAAGTAGTTTAAATGTGTGCCCGTGGTGGCACTGGCCTTTTGAACTTTGAGATCGGATATCACCCAAATGCTTCAAATTGCACCTGAAACATCAAGCAAACAGTTCGCCTGCTGCGTGTGACCTGTGCTGAAGCTACTCTCGAATCGAACTGGTTCGTTGTTCCTCTCCAGGTGGCGAAGCCACGTCGGGTTTGTTCGTGGTGTTCGATGACCCTCCCAACAAACATGCCCAGACACGACCCATGGGACTGCCATATATGCCTACATTGACCCCCAAAACCACCCTAATATGGCATACATGGAGTGTCTGGGATGGAAGCTGACCAGGACCCCTTAAAAAAAAGGAAAGTGGGCTGGAAGAGAGACCCACGGTGACAAACCGGGAATTGTAGTCATGAAGCCTATAAGTCAAGAACAACCGATGTACGTTCGTGTGTTGAAAATCTAGACTCTAGACCTTCACTCGACTACTACTGCAACAAGAGGCTTGTGACGGGGCAAAGCGTGTGGATGACCACGGCGGGTCCACTTGAATGAGAAAAGAGTGTGAGTGTATGGCTCAAATTTATTTGTAATAAACGAGCTGTAACCACATTCCACATGTTGTTCCACTTTCCCTTTTGGTTTCAACGCTCCGCTCGCACAAGGTGTTGATCATCCCCTTGATCTTCATCACCCTCCTTCACCTCCGCGAGCGTTGCCGGCCCCGCGCACGGCACGGGGCGCTGGTGATCTCTTTCGTGTCGATGTGGGAATTTTCAGCGACTGGGCCGCCGGCTTCGCACCTCACGAGCCGGGTCGAAGTGGTCCGAGCCGGGGTGGTGTGATGGCGGACGGTGGCGGACGCTGGGATGTTCACGTCACACACACTGATGGGTGCCTTTCTAAAATACGCGGGGGCCATACTTCGTTCACGGGGGATTGTTACAAAACAAGCAGGTGTCGAGTTGATCAATAGATGTCGATGACTTTTTCTTCCACACTTTTTATGACACAGCCACAAAAATCTGACAGTGACTCTTTTTCGCCATAGGCGACTCACCAAACACGACAGGGAATAGGATTGTTCACTTCTTTTCTGGCCATGAGGCCAGAAACCTTAAAGCATGAGGCCAGGACGCCCGATCACCCACATCCGATCACCCTGATCCGGTTCTGCAGGACTCCACGAACGGCTCCGAACGGCTCGCCCGCTAACATGGACAGAGTGGAAGTATAGTGTCATGCTGTACGATGCTGTATACGTTTTTTTTTTTTTTTGAGAAGTGGAGCGAGTTCACAGGCTGTTTGGCCAAGCGATCCTAGCAAACCTTGCAGAATGAAGTTTGCCTCAACGCCAACGGGCGGGCCTTAAGCCTCACCAACTGGTTCGTGACTGGAGTGCGGAGACCTGAAGCGGTGAAGGAAGAGGAAGAACAGCGGTTTCCGCCACCAACGGTGGAGGTGAAAAGAATGCTAAAAGAATAGGAACACCATTACTATTGCTTGAATGTGGAAGCAAATTGTAAAAGAAGAAGAACACAATTTAGCGGAAACCTTTAACTCGGATATATGGAGGCAACTTAAGAAGAGGACACGTTGGGTGGATGAGAAACAGGCGAGGGAAAGCACCAACCTCTTGAACATGAGTTGCTGGGTGTGTCATGGGGGCCTGTGATGGGGGCCTGCCAAGGTATGCCTTGTGTCAAGTGGGTTGGATCAAGTGAGCTATTTGTTTGATCCATGGGGCGGACGGATCAGAGCGTTGACCGGCTTTGGATCACAGTTGAGGCAGCGTTTTCCACGATCACCATGTTGTGCGACCCCTTCAAAGGTCGATGTCCAGCTGGAGTGTTTCTATTCCCCGGTGACTTCTTCATGTCGCGACCGACGGGCTTTGTGGAACACCGGTGGCAGACCTCTCCTGACCGAACTCACCGGCCGAGTTTCGACCGACCAACTGGTCCAGCCGTTGTTCCGAGGTGAAGATCACGTATTACACTTTGCTGTCCGAAGGCGCACGGATCGTGATAGCCTTTCGGGGACAGGCGATCGGTGGCGGGGCTTTGAAGGAACACGAACGCAACCAAGAACGCTACGCCGCTACGCCTGCCGAGCATGCCATAGATGCCGATCAGTTGGGGTGGTTTTGGGGGGTCAATGTAGGCATATATGGCAGTCCCATGGAGTGTTTGGGATTGGTTCGCATGGAGTGTCAGGCCTCGTGTTGCCGCTTCGCCGTGGTTGAGGCTATGGCCTGGCATTTCAAAATCAAAGGAGCTTTGACTACCGACCCATCTATGCCACGCGGTGGATGGGCTGGTTCTTCGCCATTCCCACCTTGCTTTTTATGACTCTTGGTCAAATTTGTTCTTTTTTGCAATTCATTGGCGTGGGGGTGATGAAATCCATTCCTCCAGGACAACTGCTCAGCAGTTATGGACGATTAGACTGGTGAAAGGGTGAACTGTTCAATCAAGTCTTTGACATGAGTTGTATCTTTGCATTCCTATACGTGGGGGTGTGTATTGGAATAGGGAGACCTCCCAATTACGTCCTGGGTGGAAGGAACATGGACCAAAAGGCATTCCCGGACCTCTGTCTTAGGCCCCAAGCGTGGTGCGTGCGAGGCGTTCTCCCGGTGGGTGAATCCGCAGATCACCCATCTGATGACCATCTGAATCCGCAGGATCCGCAGGTCATAATCCCAGATATTATATATGATGGTCATGAATCCTAGCTTTCTATCTTATGACCTGTCATATCTTGGAGCCATTTGGGAGCCAGGAATCCTCGGTGTGAGAACGGTCCGTCCCACGGGGGCGGCCAGGAATCTCTATCCCATCATGGAGGACTACCCTGCCTCAGCAGTGGTGAAGAGGATCTTCCCACAGCAGGCCTGCTCTGCTGCCTACTGTTGGACGTGCTACTTAGGTTGCATCATCTATGATCCTTGGTGCCTTGGGTGTCCAAATTTGACAGAGTTGCTGACTTCTTGGGACATGTGAGACATGTACGATGCACGTTTTATCTACATGCATACTGGATGACTTTTTTCTTCCAATGTAGAACCGCATAGGGGGTCTATAGCCTTTGATTCGGCCAGAACGGTGATCGATCCCTCCCTGATCCCCAGATCCTTTGCAGATCGGTTTGCAGATAGTGGTCTCCGGAGAGTGCTTTGTCCGAAGTCTTTTTGGACTTCTCATGTGTTTGACGCGGGGATGGTTGGGGCCAAGTGATCTTGCATATTCCTGCACAATGTAGGATGAGCTAAGCACCTCTAGTTGTTCAGTACGATGAGTGCCGCGCTTGGTTTGAACAAATTGCATACAGAAACACAGCGGCCGAGTGTTTAAGAAACAACTCCGAGATGAGCAACCTCCACTTGGAGGGTGATGATCCAGACCGAATCCAAGTTTCGGATTTCTCGGACCGAATCCAGGTTCGGATGGTTCTTGAACATCCTGGGGTGCGTGGGCTACGTTGTAGTGATTGTGGATGAGGCAGTTTTAGTGGCTGAACACATGCTCTCCACCAAGCAGCCAATCCTCAAAGGCTACAGTATCATCGTGAAGGACAGCGAACCGAATCCGATCTTCCGACCCCGCGCGACTCCGGCCGTGACGAAGCCGCCGCGCCGATCACTGCGCCAAGGGCGTCGTTCTTCAACGCTTCGGGGCGTCGTTTTTCCGTTCTCCCGGGAGGGTGCACGAGGACGCAAACGAACGGACGAGCCATCCGTTGCACGTTGGGAACCCCACGGTCCCACAGCAATCTCCAGGTGTTCCCAAAAATTCGCCCGGCTGCCCCGGATGTCCAACCCCCCACCCCAACCGCGAACGGGGAACGCCACGAACGGGGGACGTACGGACCCGGCCGCGAGGAATGCATCTTTGTGATGTATACCTGTGTGTGGCTCATGGGGTGTTGGAGCTATACAGGATCCTATGCTGTGCAGCGCTTCTATACCGTCTCCGATGTGAGCTTGAAAGCCACCATGTCCGGCTTGATGTTCCTGTACTGGAACACCGAGGCAGGGGAGGGAAGAGGACAGAGGAGAAGAATCAAGAAATATGGAACCTTTGACCTCGGGATTGCTTAAGATCATTTTGACCGTTGAGACGTTTTCCCCTCGTGCCGGAATACTCCTAAATACTCCTAAATGAGCTTATTCTCCCAGCCAGAGCCTGTTCCATCATGTTCCCAAATCGGATGTGCTGGAGGATTACTTCGGCCCGGCGGTCAAGAAGGATGAGTGACGAGTGTGAGTCAAGCCTGTGCACAGCGTGCGCGGCGGAAGTCCGAGGATTTGTTGCTGCGTCCCGCCAATGTGGTTGTTTCCAGCACTGTGCTGAATAAGCACGCGGAGAAAAAAAGAGAACCCGCTGTAGTAGCCGCTGTAGCACAAGTTTTCCGTGATGGAAAAAAATCATGGCCGCAGGGCCGGGTTGGAGAGCAAAGGTCGTCCACTTGGGCTCGCCAATTAAGTTCATGGAACGCATGTTCAATATGAAATATCATCAATCAATTAGCAGCGCATGGCGAGATGACAAGATGTCCAGCTGCCACCCCCCCAGTCCGGAGGCTTAGTTAAGACTATGTGAGGCATCTGAAAAACTCACAGCTCCGGACCCTGAAAATCACTCGGTTTTGTAGAGTTGAACAGAGTATTTCAGGGCGGTGCCAAAACCACAGGCTCCATGGGTTAGTTGAATTGGGAGGTGGACCGGTCCAGGACCTCATCCACGAGGTTTTAGGTCTTAGTGGTCGGCACTGAATGTGTTTGTTTTTTTGGCAGTGGAACTCCTAGCAATCCGTGGCGCAGTCTCTCTCTATAATCACCTTCTGAGAAGGTACGACCGGATTGCAAATTGGATTGCATCCGTCCGGAAGTTCACTGCGGCATCTCCAACTGGATGTGGACGAACAAACTTTGGGTCCCCGTGAGTGACCTGGGAGTAGCACATGATCCAACCACCAACCTCACCAACCTCGTCCTTTTGAAAAACGCCACCAAATCTTGGAGTAGCCTGGCTGCCTTGTTCGCCGGCAGCCTTCTTTGAATCTCATGTCTCTGAATTGTAGTTGGTACCTGTTTTCGTTAATGTAAGGTCTATCCCGTCTATCCGCGGAAATGATACAACCCAGGATATACCGACCCTTGGTGGCCGTCGAACAGGGTTTGCTGGTACTGGGTAACAACAAGATAGCACCAAAACATCTAGCATGTTCAGCCCACCAGCCACTCCAATCCAAGCCCACCAGCCGCTCCGGTCCGAAGCGATGCTTCCCCCAGGAGGCCATGGACTTGAAGCGGATCATCGAGCTCCCGGAGAAGGCCGGGTCTTGACGCGCGCAGAGCGTGCGTCGTGAACGAAACGTCGCGCAATGCATCGCGGTGAATGACGGATGAGGTGGATGAGTTCTGGAAAAAAGTTTTCTCCACACGGAGTTTGTTGGTGGATGAGTCTTAAAGTTCCAGTTTGGGAAAAAAAACGAACATACTGTATGGATAATGGATAAAACATGGATTGGAATCCTTGTGTTTGGAGGTTCTTGGTCAGTTTTCAGTTATCAATTCATTCTTCGAGTGGCGGAATTGAGGGTTTGTCACTTCGCCATCGGGTCCGCGATGGGTCAACCCCCCCACCAGATCGCGCCAGCCTTTCTCTTCAAGACATCACAGTCACAAAAACATCCCTACCCCTTTGCGGCTTTGCAATTGCGGGGGTCCTCTAGGAAATGTAACTTATATTTAAGATAGGGGGTGGGGGTGTCGGACAATTGGAGGACCCTAAACTCACTCAAATCCTAAATGCCCCCCCCTTGTTATTTGTGTTTTGTCAGTCAGTGGCCTTCGGTTATTCCTCACTATGTATAGGAATCCCAGAGAGGAACTCCAGAAAACTAGGGGAGAGAGATAGATGAAACCTTACAGGGGAGGAGCGTTTTCCTAAAAATGTAGTTTACATTTTTAAGAACATGTAACTTACGTGTTCCAACATCCCCTGCCATTTGGGGGGGGCCCTCAGAAATGTAAGGTTTCGCATACGTTTGAATCTATAATGATATGTTTCGACTAAATGTTTGCTTACATTTTGCAGGTGGTTGGCAGCCACAAATGTAACTTACATTTTCTGGAGGACCCCCCTTCAAGAAGATGATAGGGATACTAAAACGATCTATAAGAGTGTCGTAGAAAGAGCACTGTGCTGTAGAACACACAGGATTCCGCTGTAGGGGTCTTTAACCTCTAGAATCTTTTGGCACGGCCCTCTCTCCTGCGAGGTCAAGGTAGATCTCGTTTTGAGTTTCCTCTCCGTGCTGCTGGAACGGCGCCACACTGGTCTTTGCAGGTGCGCTCAACCAACGAACCTCGCTTCGGGGTGTGAAGCAAGTCGCTCCAGGGAGCCAGGAGAATTGGTTGACTTGGCCTTCCATGTGGGAGCATTCCATGGCTAAAGTCCTCAGTTAGGGACTCATGGCACATCCGGAGTTCAACCAGGTTCGTGATATCAGACATGGGGAGATCCGGCACATATGCTTGTTCAGAGAGGTTGGGGTGCCTGCGGGGTCGGTTTCAATAGCTCCGGGGCGGAGGGGAACAGGCTCCGCAGCAGGACAGGATGACCCAAAACCGGCTCCACCCATGGGCATTCGGGTGGCCTGAAGGGGACATCAAGAGTCCTTGCCAGGCTTCCCGCAAGCACCACGCTGCCGGCAGAAGACTCAGATGGTCTGGAGGTAGCTTCAGGAGGCCTCGGTGGTGAACATGACTGAGTGCTTGCAGTGCTGGGAAGTGTTTTACCTCCATTCTGGGCCCAATGATTGCTTCAGCTGTCCTTGATGACCCCAAGTGACGAACAACAATAATTCGCAACATGTTCTTTTTTTGTGGGGGGGCTGTTCATTCTGCAAGTCATGCACAAAAATGTAAGTCTTCATGAACAAGTTTGCGCATGTTGTTGCTTCTTGTTTCTTCTGAATGCACACTGGGAGACGGAGCCTCTCCTCCCGAGAGGCTGGCTCCGTTTCCAGGCTCAGCTGGTTCCGTGAGAGAGGCCCTGGACAGCTCGGATGCCCCGGTTTGGAAAGGGACGAGGCGGTCATATATAATTGGACATTATGAACTATACAGTCGGTATATATCTTATATTTAGATATGTCAATAGATTATTCTAGGATGGTTGTATACTGGTATATTGTAGCACCCTTGAGGGCCTCAATGAGTTCAAGGTTTGGCTGAATAGATCCAGGAGAGCATTTGTGCTTATGATGCATCCACCTTCACATGGTTTTGTGGCATGGCATGGCTCTCAGTGAGGAAGACAGGTTGGTTCCTCGGCCAAAGCTGGACGTTCAAGCGGTGAAGTGGTCTACAACGGGGTGGAATAGGAACAAGTTGTTCTTGAAATGTTGCTTTGTGAATTGTTTTACGTCACCCAGGTTCTATTGCTTCTATTCATTCAGCAATTGTGTGCTCTTGCCTTGGCTCGCTAAACGTGCCCTGATGAGGACATGGACGCCAACCTTGTGTTTTTCTCGGAACCCCGACCAAACTCATGTTGCTGGTGGCCGTGCTGAATGCTAAAAGCCGTTCGCTCCCCAATTCGCAGGGCGCCGCGGCCTGTGTTCCGCCGGAGGGCCGCCTTTCTGCCTCTTCCGACCCCGGGGATCGCGGCCAAGGTCACGTGCAGAAGTCCTTCACTGGACTGGTCAGAGCGCCCAGTCGCTCTGACACCGCACGAACCGAACGTCGGAGTCCGCACCGCACTGAGTGTGGCAATGAAGGTGGTGAAGGTGGAGATGAAGGTGGTTCTGAATGGCTGAGTTCGGTGTTAGCATCGAATCTAGCAGTCACTCGGTGTGCTCCCGTTGAATCACCGACCAAACAACCAGAAGTGACGTTAGCCGTTAGCCACTGGCCGGGCCATGGGTCGGGGTTTCAAGTCTCTCGCGGAGGTGAAGCTCCTGAAGTTTGAGAGTAAACGAGAGGCCAAAGTCTGCGAATTGGCCGCGGCCTACCTCAAGGTGCGTGTCGGGGCCACTTCCCGAGACCCCGTGTCCGAATGGTATAGGGTACACACTCAGCTGGAATCATTACAGAAGTGGAGTTCTCCGAGTCTCCGGAGCACATGTGATCCACGTGGAGTTGGAATCCTGGCCTCGCTGGGGGTGAGAGACTGATGTTCTTGGAAATCCGACTTGAACTGCCTGGCTTCGCGATGACGTTGCTGCCCCAAACTCATTCTCCTCCACACCTGTTTTGTTTTCTTCTCTAGTGATGATGAAGGCAGCTTCTGTGCACAGTTTGCCGTAGTTACAATTTGTGGAGTTTGCTCGGGTTTGGAGTTTGTTTATTTGAGTTTTTCCAGGTTTGACGATGAAAACCTTCAGCGTCCAACATGTTTGTGTCCGACATTTGACATAACCAGCCTCCAGCGATGACTTGGTTGTGGTTGGTGTTGCGGAAGGTCATGGGGCAGGTCGGTTGTTGGTTCAGTCGCCTGAAGTGGAGCTTAATCGTATGTGGAGCTTGAAAGGAACAAAGTAAAGACTCTGTGGCAGTTGGACTTATGAATGACGAGGGTTAAATATGTTTGAACCAAGTTCAGTTGGATCACACCAGTGTTTTGCATCCGCACAGGCCACGGCCACGGGTTGTGAGGAATCTCGTGCAACATTCCTGACCGGAATCTCGTAAGTCCCAGCACCTTCTGTTCGAAATCACCTGGCTGGAAGATGCTGGAAGCCTTTGTATACATAAATTCACCCTAGGATCTCCGGACACGCCGACAGGAAGGGCCAGGTATGCTCCAGTTTTTGTGCACAGGCCGCGTCGTCGTCGACACGCGGTTTGGGTCCGCCGTTTGGGCCCAAGAGGGTTACTCGTTTGTTCCACCGGGATCCCGTCGGTTGTGGCAAGACCCACGATGGCGAAACAGGTCCAGGACTCAGTGGAGACAGTGGAGGAGTGGTTCACCACCGGCAGGTTTGGGCATTCGGATGGATGGTCATGCAAGGGGCGCCATCTGCGTTGGCCCATGATGATTCCAGGAAGTGTGCACTCTTCAAAAAAAAGGGTTTCAATGTAACTTGCTTGTTTCAGGAAACATGGCGGGTAGGTTAGAGGGTTCGATGGTGAGTATGATTATAGGCCACAACGTCGGCAAAGTCAGCCACTCACACACTCAGTCAAATATGGTCACGACAGGGTGGCTTTGTCTCAGGCCACTACCGCTGTTGGTGTGAGATAAAAATAACCTGCTCAAAACTTGGCTACCACACGCTACACTTACTCCTCACTCCTCCCTTTCACCCCTACTCTTGCAGCGGCTGCCGACCGTTGCGCTGCAGAAGCTGCCGCAGAGACGTCGGCAGCTTAATCTTGTTACACG